AGCAAGGCTCCGGAGAGTAGGAACATACCATGCCCATAATAACCAGCAGAAACACGCAGACAATTCTTCCAGGGTCCCTTTCCCCTCTGGCTTATGGGCTACCCTGCTCCAGCTGCCTGAGCTTACTCACAGTTTGGAGCAAGTGCCTTTGCCTTCTTCCACCGGGAAGCTCCTTTCACCTCTACTGCTTGACCCAGCTGCTTCTTATCCATGGAGACTGGCTTTTACCTCCTTTTGGCTCCACTCCTTCAAGCCACAGCCCTTAACAAGGCCTTTTCCTGTCTCAAGCTCCTTTCCTGTGAAGGGATAGGTGTTCCTCATTACAGAATTACCTGCTCTGCAGCTTGCACTTGCCCTCTCTGCACAGCTGAGGGCTCCCGATGTTAGAGGAGGGGGCAGAATGGCTGGGTGACCCCACTTCAAGGTGTGTCTGTGTGGACATGTGCAAATGTAAGGCAACCAAAGGCAGCTTCTGGGAACAAAACTTAGAAGGGTAGCCCAGCCCTAAACAGCCCCCAAAGCATGAGGGGGTCTAATATGCTTTGATGTCTATATGCTGCTATATGTGCTCAGTGCTGTACTGAGAAAGGCTAGGGACAGAAAATACACATAAAGCAGTATAAGGAACCAGAAACCAGTTCAAATCTGTAATATAACAGATGTTCAGTGCACATAAACCGCTTTCAAATGGGCTGAAACTGGTTTAAGATAAACCTGGATGGATGTAGTATCAGACTTAATTGATTTAAGTTAAATCAATTTGTTGAACGTTTGTCCCAGACCCCCTCCAGATTCAAGTTAACTCACAGTCCCCCAGCATCCCAGGATGCTTTGCACCACCCCTTGCAGGGTGAGGGGCTAGCTTTGGCTCCATCAGAGCAGGGAGGAATACTCTAACGCCCCCCAACTTCTGACCTGGGCCACTGCAGACATGTGGCTACATTTCTGGAATCAGAAGTGAATGTCTGTTCACTTGCTTATCAGTTCAATCCATGCAGCTTAGACTAACCTGTGAAGATTGAATTGATTCAGCCTCAGGCTTTTTGACTCTCTGTACTTAAAATAGTCCCTTTTGTGGTTAGCCCGGCCTGTATAGGCCAGACACACTGGAAGTGACTTGCCCAGAGTCACATGATCAGTAATAGAGAGAACCAAAAGTCCTGAGCCCCAGTCTAGTGCCCTTTTTCATAAGAACATCCTCGCCCCTTCCTCACTGCCTGCAGGGCTGGAGAGCGCATCCCTAATAGGGACACAGTATCCCTTCCTTCAGGAGAAGTCGTTGATCCCTTACCGACCTCTTTGTGCCACGCCATGGGCTCCTTCTGCTGACTCCCTCTGCTGCCAGGAAGGGAAAACAGACTGATCCTTATCACCAAAAGCAAGTACATTGAGTGCCTCTACAAATCATGATCAAGCCCATGGACTGAGACATACTCTATCTGTTACTATGAGTGATTCCTGCTTTTTCCTCCAGAAGCTGCTATTTAGCAGCCCAAGCCAGGCCACTGAACAGCCAGCTTACAGTGTGACCCCTATCTCTCAAAACTTATTGCAAGAGATCAGGGGCTCTTGCCTATCAGTGCTAAGAGCAAGCATCAGGCCAGTCATGTGGCCCTGATGGAGGATTGCACGGCCATTGCTTCTGGAGAAGCTAAAATGCCAGCTTCAGATCTGCCCTTATCATAGAATCATAAAAACCATAGAAAATGAGGGTCAAAAGGGACCTCAGGAGGTCATCTAGTCCAGTGGTTCTCAACCTTTTTTGCACCAGGACCCATCTGTAAACATCAATGGTCAGTCCCAACCTGGTAAATAGTTTAAGTAGAAAACAGCCCCCTGGCCCTGCTGGCCTCTCATTCTTGACCCATTGCCCCTGCCCCCAGTGCCTCAGTGTGTGGGGTAGGGGGTAAGTATGTATGGTGGGGGGGGGGCATGGGGGGCCCCAAGCAGCCCCTTGCAGGCTGGAACTCTTCCAGCCTGGAAGGGAAAACCCAAGGTCCCCACATTTTTCTCCTTTCAAGGAAAATCCATTTTTAAAGTTTGCTCGTGACCCTTTCTTATATTCTTGTGACCCACTTTTGGATCATGACCCACAGGTTGAGAAAGGCTGATGTAGTCCGCCCCCCTGCTCAAAGCAGGACTGTCCCCAACTAGATCATCCCAGCCAAGTTTTGTCTAACTGGGTCTTAAAAACCACCAAGGATGGAGAGTCCACCACCGCTCTGGATAGCCTGTGGCAGCACTTTACCACCCTCCTCACAAGAAACTTTTTTACTAATCTCCCTTGCTGCAACTTGAGACCATAGCTGCTTGTTCTGTCATCTGCCACCACTGAGAACAATCTTGCTCCATCCTCTTTGGAACCACCCTTAAGGTATTAAATCCCAACCCAGTCTTCTCTTTTGCAGATTAAATAAGTCCAGTTCCCTCAGTATCTCCCCATAAGTCATGTTCCCTTGCCCCCTAACCATTTTTCTTGCTCTCCACTGGACTCTTGGGTACCCTTCATCAGGCACCTAAGTACCAGCCAAGCATGGGAAGAACCCCTTGATGCCAGTCTCCTATGGTGTTGTGCTGGGATGTTTCCTCTTCCTGGTTGCCATAAGAATGCTACACCCAGACTTCCCCGTGAAGTGTTGCTCACCCTGCAAACTCTGGAACTGGCCATTTGCTTGCAATGCTGCAGGCATCCGCGGCAGAATTGGGTCCTCCCCTTCCTCACTGTTTTGTGTGCCTTAGCCTCAAGGGTAAGGAGAAGGCACATCGTGGCGATGACACCATGGTATTCCAGCAGTTCAAAATGTTTCCTGAGTATTCAGGCTGGAATAAGACTGTACTTGCCTGAACTCCACTTAGATGCCTGCTGAGTGAAATAGAGTCCAATGAGCATAAAAGCAACCAGGAATCTGCTCTAAGCAAGGCCTGGCCACATGCAAGCTCTTCTCACATTGGGTACATGAAGTCCACAGCATACACCTGATCCTGGAAAAGAGCTCCCACACCTACATGTGGGAGTCCTTTCTTGCATCTTTGTGACAGAGCCACACTTGCCGTAGCCTTGAACTTGTGGGCTATTAACTGTATGCTTTAGCGCCCACACCATTCCAGTACCTGGAGTAGGAGCAAATAAAGGACAGCAGGAGAGGGCTGGACAGCAGGCAGCAGCTGGAAGCACGCCAGCATCCCTTGCCCCACAGCGCTGTGTCAAGGATGGGCAAGTCTGAGCTCTGGGTCACTCTGATCCCTGCGGGCAGGCTGGGCTGAGAGTAACACAACAGGGGGTCAGCCAGAAAACACAAAGCTGCTTCCCAGAGACCCTGCAGAGCCAGGATCCAATTTCCAATCCACGGTCCTTACTGAGCATCCTTACCAGTGCTTCTCGCTTCTCACAAAGCCAGTGTCCAGCAAACAGCACTTTAATCCCATGCTGATACTGGCAGGGGCAGAAAGGTTCCCACAGCACAGCTGCTGCAGTGGTCACCAGCCTTTTCCAACATGTTTGTACGTCCCCCAAAAAACCCAGGACACTTCATTTGAAAAACTTCAAGTGGCAATCTCTGCTGCCTGGCCGTAATGGCAGGCATCAGGAGGGAATGGCTGTGGGTGCAGCTAAGTCAGCACCAGTCCAAGATGTACGTAGTTCCCATCACAATACTATGGTGACAACCACTGGATTGATTGCCAGGATGACTCTAAGGCAAGGGTGACTCATCAGTGGCATGAGTGTCACAAGTGGCATAGATAACCACTGTTTGCTGCACACAGCAGATCAGGGAGGGAGCAAGGAACAGCAACACCCAGGGCAGGGAGCAGAAAGCCGAGCAACGGACCATGCAGGGAACAGAAAAACAGATTGGGGAGGGGAAAGGGGATGGGAGTAGCACTTGAGGAGGGTGCAGGGCTTGCCTTGTGCTATGCCCGGCAGAATGGTTTGCCCACACTGATCTAGAGGCTAAGTCATTGGCCTGGCACCAAAGAGAAAAAGTTCAGTTCCACTAAAACACATTGTGACTTTAGGCAATGCTTACGGCCAGCTTTTGAAAGGCATGTCTTTCTCTTCCCTTTAGAAGTCAGGTCCTTAATCACCCCAAGGCTCTGTTCCCCATCCACAGACAGGCAATAACAGTGCTGCCCACCCTCCCAGAGTTGCTGGCAATTTGGAGACAGGAGTACTGTGCAGGTTGCAGGAGAGGAGTCTGGAAGGGGCAGCACAAACTCTGGCTGGAGTTCTGGTGTCGCTGCAGACAGTGCTGACAATAAATCTACTAGCTAGTGGCAAAGCAATGTGCATTAAGGATCCCATAGCAATTTGCAGCCTAGCAACATCCAGCAACTTTGTGAGGTTTATCTGGTGAATTCCTGCGCTCTGGAGCTGGCAACCCTGGGTGAAGCATGTCTGTATAGAGACATTTCCATCAAGAGCTGAGAGTAGAGAGAGAGGAAGAGTCCTGCCCAGGACTGGAGAAGGCAGTGCTGGAGGAACCACATGAGCTAATGCTGTTCAGGAGCGGCAGGTGATGATGAGCGGGGTAGCTGGCCAAGCACAAAAGCTGGGTCAGGTTTAAAGGAGGGGTTGGTTTGTGGATCTATATGCAGAACAAACTACATATAAGAAGAGTTTAATCTTGAATGAATTCGTGGGGGCTTCCTGAACTAGCAGGTGTTGAGGAAAGAGCCAGGGCAGGAAGAGCAGAGCAGATTGGGATTCACAGGGCAGGTAAGGAGCCTCCTTTGGGGAGAGGAGGGCGAGCTGGAGGGCAGGGAGCGAGGCCCGGCAGGACTCTCTCAGCAGAGGAGCTGTGGTCAGCAGGAGGACTGGGCAGGGGCAGTAGGTCAGTAGTGGTGGCAGAGCTGGGCAGGGATTTCAAGCTCCAGCTACACCGCGGTGCCTGGGTGGGGACCAGCCGTGGGTCAGCCCTGCTGCACGTCAGCAGAATCCGCCTGGTTTGATGATTTCCCTGCACAAGTACAAGAGACCAAAGGCCAGTAGGTGTGGCCCCAGAGTCAGGCACCAGACAGACTGCAGAGATTCGCTCTTCCTGCTCTGCTGCCCTGCGACCACTCCCCCCGGGTCCAGTTACCAAGCAGGTAAGCCTCCGGACATCAAAGCCTGCGATCGATCGGAGCCAGACCTCTCCCAACCACAGCTGGCCCCTGCCCAGACTCTTACCTGCAGGGAATGCCCTTGTGATCACCTGCTCGGGGACCAGGAAGAACCACCGCTCTGACCAGCTGCCAGGTAACAGGCACGCGGTACCCCCTGAGCGCAGGCAAAGCCCCTGCTCCAGGCACGGAGAAAAGGGGAACAAAGCAGCAGGCCAGTTCAGTTCAGTGACAGCTACGAGGAAGGGGTTTGAGAGACAGCCTCCCTCTCGGGCACGGCAGGAACAGGCCCTGGGGGGTGGTGAGGAGCTGCCAGGGCATGGGGCAGGCAGTTAATAAGGAGAAACGCCCTTCTGCATGCTCAGACCAGGGGGACTGCCTCCCTTTCTCTGTAACATGAGCCCAACAGGAAAAGTCTGAATCTTCAAGATGGCAGCATTGCCTGTGACGCCATTAGCTTCCAATTGCTGGCTTGCGAGCTGTGGCTGCGGGGCAGCAGCGAGCTAGGAAAGAGCAGGACCAAGCCCAGGGGCTTGTCTGACAACTAGGACCAGTTAGTGGAAGGGGATGGAGCAGGGAAGGGCAGAGGCTAGATCAAAGTGCAAGCACAGACCGGACCTTGGTGACATGGGACACAGGCAATCATGGCAGATCATACCCAGGCCCTATCTCAAAGGGGAAGTCTATGCGTTGGAGCATAAACTTCCCCATGGCAGCCTCAGACGAGCTGGCTCGGGTACTGCTGGCAGGGCAGCTGTGGTAGCTCCTCGCCACAGGTAGGCTCTCCAACTTGCATGGGTTTCTGGGCACCCTCCGCTCTACTGCCCGCAGTGTCCAGCTAGCTGGTGGGACGCCAGCTGGGAGGTGTCTCTGCTCCACTGCAGCAACAGGGCTATAGGGGCCACAGCTTCTGAGCCAGGCAGAGGAAGGGACGTGGCACCATCTCGTGGAGGAGAGCGGAGCAACGGGCCAGACAAAAAGTTGTTTTTCTTTGTGCTTCAGAAAAGTCAGAGGCCAGCGCTGCTGCAGGTGGAGCAGGGCACTGGGCTTACCGCAGGTGCTTGTACATATGACGCCGTTACCACGCACACATGACGAAAATGTCACTGCGTGCGGCTTAATGGCGCCACACTGGACACATGCAAAAGTTGTGGGAGTTTTAAATGAGTTTGCATTGTTTCAAACTAAACTATATCCCGGTGTAGTTTAGTTCGCAGGCAGGCTGCTAGCAGTCCAGGTACTGCCCCAGCTCAGGGTCAGGGAGGAGTTGGGTCAGGCTGCATGCTGCCTCCAAGCTGGGGTAGCACCTGGCCCACTAGCAGCCCACCCAGGTGGCCTTAGGGGATGCTGCCAACATGGAAGGAGAGACTGGGACCCCCACAGCTCAGGGGCTGCTTGGCCCCTCAGCAGGTTGGCCCCTGGCTGCAGGCTGGCTCTGTTGGGGAAAAAAAAAAGGATCAGGCCTCTCACTGTAACAGTGACAGGAAAATAAAACCCCGCTGTTTCAACTGAGGGGGCGCAGAATGCAATCCTAAGGACCAAAGCCCCGTCATGTGTACAAGCGCCAGCCCCCAATGCTTCCTTTCTTTCTGGGGTGTTTTAAAAGTAAAAGCTGAAGCCCATTTCTAACTAAAGGCTGTGCCGAGGTCAGAGAGATGGAAATGCTCCATTTCAATGTCTAAAGGAAACAGTCCAGGTTGGAGAAGGAGATTTTGCAGGGAGGCAAGGGCGGAGGGGAAGGAAATGATTTAGCCACAACAATGTGCATTAGCCACAGGTTTCATTCGAGAGGAACCTGCTGCCGTCCATGGAGAAAAGCAAGCACTCCGCTGAGTTCGAGCTGCTGCTGCCTGCCCCGGGACGGCCTCTGCACTGGGGAGCAGGGCCCTGTGGTTTTGTTTTGGGAGAGGTGGAAGGGGCTGAGCCGACTAGAGGGCTGGCTGGGCAGTGCCCCCCTCCAGCTCCAGAGAGCGGCCGAGGGCAGCATTATGGGAAAGGGCCCTGGGGAACAATTGAGTGAACCAGTCTAGCTGGGCCCCTGCAGCCCAGGCTAAATAGCCAGCTCGCTTCACTAGCTCCCCACTAAACACCCGAGATTCAGCCAGTGTGTCCCCCTGGGTATTCAAACCTCACTCTTTGGAAACACCCATTCCCTGCAACAGGGGTTTCCAGGCAGTGCCAGGGCAGGGTAGGGTGGGGGGTGGTACAGGGCAGAGAAGGGAGGGTCATTATTGAGCCCCCTTGTGATGTACAGCCTCCTTTGCTGTCTCTCCAAGGCAGGGCTTCTCTGATAGGGAAACCAGGTCCCCATCCCCCTGCTTTTGGCACCATTCAATCCCTCCAGCTGCCTTGCTGCTCCCTCCTGTGGCAGGTCCCTGTGAAAGTGAGCAAGAGCCCTGGGCACATGAGTGCGTGTGTGAAAGTGCGTGTACATTTGTGGCCATGTAGCCCCATTGTATGAGTATGTTTACAGGCACATCTGTATGTGCACACACATGGTGGACACACGCTGCATGTGCATCCACTTGGTACATGCATCAGAACACGCACTGTATGTGGCAATCCATGCATGGCCAGGCTGGGTGTGCAACATGTACAGGCACTTTATTCATACACTTCATGTCTGCATGCAGCGCATGCACCCACCCCCAGGTGCACTGCATGGGTGGGTGGGAGGTACAAGTACTCTGGGCCTACACATACTCTGATGTGGCCACTGGCAGGGCCTGTTCTGCAAGATGACAACAGATCTCTTTGGCCGCCGGATGCAGCCTCCACTCTCCAAGTGAGTGCCTGTTTCTCTTGGGCTCGGGGTCCCCCAGGGGATATTGGGATGCCCCTACTGTGGTCACCCATACACTCCCTGTCCCTGCTCCCACTTCTCCTCCCCTTCTGAAAGGGGTGCCCCCTCCCAGGGGTTCAAAGCCAGCTGTCCCCAGCTCCCCCCACCCAGCTGATGCATGCCAGTGCCAGGCAGGAAGAAGGGAGGGATGGGGAAGTAGGTTCCTGAGCCACCAGACACAGGTCCTGAGCCACATGTCTACCGACTTGTCTGCCTGTCTCTTCTCCACAGCGAGCTTGGCAGTGGCAGCCCTGACCTCAGCAGGTCCAACAGCATGTCCAGGCCCAGCAGCAAAGCCATCTACCGTAAGAGCAGCCCTCCCCTCCCCTCCCCTCCTTCCACCTGCCTTCACAGCCCCTGCGCCCCCAACTTTCACGCCTCTCTTTCCCCCACAGACCAGCGCAAGAACTACGCTCTCTCTGTGCTGAAGCAGCAATGGGACCTCCGGCACTATGTTGAGGTTGGCAAAGCCCAAGCACCCTCTTCCCCTGCTGCACAGGCAGAGGCTGCCCAGGGCTAAGCCCAGCCTCATGCCACATACCTCATGCCATGATGCTACCTCCCTCTGAATAGCCCATGGATGATGTGGTGTGCCCCAGCCCAGCCCTTGGCTGCCCTCCGGGGTCGCAGAGCTGGCATGCTGGGGCAGGGGGACCCAGAAAGGTCACTGGGTGCTGTGCTTTGGGTCCCCAGCACCTCCTCACGCTCCACGTGGACTCCAAGGACATCCGCAACGTGGATGACTGCATTACGCGGCTGAAGATGATGGAGGCGCAGGGCCGGGTCTGGGGACAGGACATGATCCTGGAGGTGAAGGACCACGAGCTGCTGCTGAGCGACATTGAGAGCAAGGTGCGTGCGGGCCTCCTTCCGCCCCATCAGGCTCTCCCC